GCCTTAGCCCTGTTCCCTGTCCCACATGCTTCTTCCTTCACTATGGGGCCCTGTATCACACATGTTCTTCTTTGTTCTCTATGTCTTAGCTTTCACTTGACCAGTAATTCACACTTCAAAAGATTAGGTTTATTTAGGTCAGTCATAACTTAGAATAAATGTAGACCAATAACCTATCTTCTGGTGCCTAATATAGCTACACAATGAAACTGACCCTGACATTAGGTATAATTTGGATGGGAAATATTAAAATTAGAACATAAATAATGACAAAAGACAATAACATTTACAAGTAGCTTGAGTATAGACTATTTCAAAACCAGTGTTTGTATGACAACCAGTCTGAAAACTTAGGAGGAACTTTTTAAAAGTTTAAAATAAAAACAAATTTTGAAAGGGCACATAACATAAAGTCATAAGATAAAGTTTAATACATTTGATCATGTTAAGACACAAAACACAGCCAATCTAATCAAATTTCAGGCATGCATTTACATAAATATATTAAATTAAGAAAAGACATTATACACTTAAAACATCCTTTCACCTAAAAAAACATTAAATCCACAGATCAACAATAAAGCCAATTCTCTGCATTTACCACTTTTCAAGATAACACAAATACACTTGTTAGAATTTATATGCATTATACATATATTATATATTACATAGATAGTGTGTATACATATGTAGTGTTTGTACAGATAGATAAATATATATATATACACGGGTGTGTGGACATGTACAGATACATAGAGATGTACTTGAGACCATCTGTACTACTCATCGCTGCTGGGGTCTAAGGCTCAGGCAAGCTGGAGCTAGTTGGAGTGAAAGTCTCTTTTGTTTTGGACATCTTAATCATCCCAGTGAACTTCCAGCCCTGTCCTTGCGGATGCCCTCGCCTCTCAACGGTGGGAGATTATACGAGGCACGTCAGCGTTTATATTGCATTAATGAATGGATTGCTGGTTGAATCAAGGAAAACTGCATATTTTTACAGACCGATTTAGTGAAACCAGATTAGTTCAAACTCCAGAGGATCATGTGAGCCAGTAGCCATGTATATTAATTTTTAGAATGTTCTAGAAATCATAAAGAGTTCCTAGCCTAGTCCTGATCCTTTCAGCTTGCACCTGGGCTTCCTAATTGTTCCTACTATATGCTGCCGCTTATTAACAGAAACCCAAGGATGGATTGGTTCTGAAATGTCCTGTAACATTTGGACAGACTGCTTTAATTGTCAATAACCTGAGGGAAATAGACAACTCAAAACACCAAAATATATGAAAAGAATCAAACACAAAACCACCCCTTAACACTTAAACAAAAAACTCAACAATCACAGATAAATCCAAAGAGGAACCAGATTTTCCTATTACAATTCTTTTGTGCTTATGGTCATGACTCAATAATTTTTTTCATTGTAATTAGGTAGATTTATTTTAAATAGTAGTCTGTTAGCCTGTCCCAGAGAATCAAGTTTCCTGAATTCTACAGTACTTCAGTATGACTATTACTTCACGGTTCTTAGCAGCATGCAGGTTCATACACATCCTCTGAGCAGAAAAAGATATGGGGGATATCTGATATCATCAGGTTGTCAGCTTAGCTTTTCAAATTAATATGATGAAATGAACCTTCTGAACATGGATTCTTAGTTCATTCCAGAAAAGTCATGCCCAGATTTTAAGATTATGGGGTAAAGAAGCATCCAATGTTTATTCTGGCACAGACCATCCCCAGCCTAGTCACCCCTCATTCGTGTGAATGGAAACAACTGATTAGCCAACTTTCAGTCCAGAGAGAAATGTTCAAGACTGAATCTCTAACTGTGAAGAAAAAACTTATATTATTTGGCCACTGTGAATTTTCCATCATAATATATAGTGTATATATATTATTGAGATATAATATACATATACTATAGAGAAAAATTAAATATATACATTAGATTATATATATATATATTAGATGAGAAAAAGCTATTCTTTTTTACTTAAAGGAATGATAGCCAACTGAGATAATATACTATATATAGGTATGTTTACTTGCCAGGACGTGGATATATGTATTTCAAATCTATAAAGAATACTATTCAGAAAAGAAAACCTGAATAAGCAATGACATCTTACTTTGTGATGGACATGAAACATTACCTTAGAATGAATGCTGAATTAGTACCGTTTTTAAAATTTTTACTGTTGACTGACAAAAACAAATGAGAAGGTTTAGGTATAAGGCTTTTTATTGATGCAAGAAATCTATTACTTATTTGCATCTTCTCAATTGGCTGATACATGCCCTAAATAAATTGTATGGGAAAACAAGGCAAAGAATGGGTGGATCTTGGCTTCACACTTAATAGAACTTTAGGAAATGCCAATCTCATAAATGAAGAAATCTCTCCAAGGCTGCTAGAATTTTGGGAATCAAGCATCTAGTTCCACTTAATCTTCCCATGAGTACTTTGTACTCTGGAGTGACCTCAAGCCCATTCCAAAAGTTACTGAGAGGAGATGGTACCGAGGAAGACAGACAGGACTTGCTAAGACCCGCACCTGACAGGCTCAAAGAACATGTTCTCAACATCTAGATGTGTCTGCTCTTAGACTTTGTATCTCATTTCATGTCCTATTTCAAATCGGATGTGTGGCCCATTTGTGCTGGTGTGACAAAGAAAGACAGAGCAAATGCATGTCTCACATATAGAAAGGGGAGCTTGCTGATGGGAATCCATCAATGTTCCCAGAAACAGTGCCACCACTTTCCCCAGGGAATAAAAGTGTGTTTGTTTTCTGGGCATATAAATTTGGTTGAGTTCTCTGACATGCAGACCTCATGGCAGGGAGGATAAGTGTCTGAGGTCATCATCACCAAGACACTAGTTCCCTGCCAAATGGATTTGGATTAGTTTTCTTCAAAGTAGACTCTGTAGAGATGGCTGTCGCTTTGATAGAAAGTAGCTAGGAGTGTCCCTCCTGTCATCTCAAGCTTTCTACTACAGTGGCTCTCCTCCTCTTTCTAGTGACTTTGCTGGAAGACCTGCATGGGGCAAGTACACTGGTGGATCTGTGTGCTTTTTGTCATTTCTTTCAATGACTGCAGCAGACCAGCCTACTGTGCTATTTCTCTACTCCTTAGTGATACTGAACTTAAGTCAGCGTGGCTCCAGAAGAGAAAACAAAGGAAAACAAGCCCCAGCAGAATGTATAGGTATCTGTCCCAGGACAACGTCATGGCAGGCATACGTGGTGCATCTGTTCAGAGAAACGAACATAAAATGCAGGAAAGTGGAGGAAGAAGAGATCCAAAGAGAGATGGTAGAAAGGTATGGGTGGAGGAGCAGAGAAGGGTGAGGGTGGAGAAAACTTAGGTAACATTCTAGACAGAGGCTCAGAAAGTAAAGTGATATACCTCCTTGACTGGCATACTTCCTCCCCTTACCAACTTAACCTGGGCTTCTATTCTGTGCTAAGAGAAAGAACAGGGGCTCCTAGCAGATTAGTGTGTACTTAGAAAGACCTCAGCTGCACAGCCCACCTCCTACCTCATTTTCTCACCCTGAATAGACTCGTTGGATCCTTTGTAGTTCAGATAATTAAAACAAAGTTCAGAAACAAACAAAATGACAGTATGTTATTCTGTAGCCATTCCCAAGACAGCCACTAGGGAAGCCATCACTACTCAGAGGGATGCAAATGATAAGGAAATAGTTTTCTAGCTGGGTTTTGTAGACATGCGTAGATTTCTTTGCCCATCCTTCATGAAACTGATCAGTTAAATTGTAGAAACTTCTGAGTAAGCTTGCAAAATATCTTTCAATACCTAACATGAAAAGGTATGAACAAAAACATTTTTGCCATCATTGAGCTTGCCTAGATGTTCCTCCTTTGCAATTTAATGATATTTAGTTTTCCTATCATTGATTTATGTGCTTTGAATCAGGGCAAAAGTTTGGCAGCAATACTTGTAGGAGGGTTACCTCACACTCAGCTGGTACCTGGAGCTAAGATCTAGGATGGGCAGGGGATAGTAACTGTTTACTTCTTTGTCATACACAGCAGTGTTCACAGAAACGACATTCTTCCATTTTAGATTGTGTGCTTTGTTAGATGGGTAGATTTTGACTTTTAAATGATTAAACATTTATTTTTCTTAGCTCATACTTTTTTTTTTTTACCAATTCCCATCTATCTCTCACAAATCATTTATGATAATCCCCAGTCATATATTTTAAAAAAAACAACTTCAAGGAAGAGGTCAAAGAAAATTTTGAAATCGGTCATGTAGTCTAAAACACACAGTCATCTATAGTCATTGTTATCTACTTTCCTCCTAAGGACAGAAAGAATGGAGTCTAAGAGACCCTTTGCTTGGGTTAAATATCCTATCTTCTATAAAGAGAATTTGGTATTATATTTGGATAACTCATTATAGGAAAGGCAATAACATCTCTAAGTCACTTGAAAGAGAGCTATGTAAAACAGCTCTGTCTAGGCTGCTTGAGTAGAATGCCTACCCATGGAACATCTTCTCTTTAAGATGTAAAAAGAAGCATTTGGGCTTTAAGACTTTGCTGGATTTCTAGGGGTATCCTTCTTGTTTTTGCTCAAACTGTGAGTGGGGGTATGTGTAATAAAACTGTACGATTTGACAGATTTAGATAGCTGGGTGCTTCATGAGACGTTTGCCTTCTGTCAGTGTCACCCATGCTGAATAAAGAATGATTTGATAGGAAGGTCTGCTTACAAAAATGGTGGTCTGATGGAGGAAGGTCATTGGTTAAAAAAATAAAGAAACTGCTTGGCTGGCCCTCATAGGTTAAAACATAGGTGGGTGGAGTAAACAGAACAGAATGCTGGGAGGAAGAAGTGAGCTCAGACTCGATAGCTCTCCCATCTCCCGGGCAGACACGTGATGAAGCTCCGACCCAGGATGGATGTAGGCTAGAATCTTCCCGGTAAACGCACCTTGGGGTGCTACACACATTATTAGAAATGGGCTAGTCCAGGTGCGAGAGTTAGCCGAGAAGAGGCTAGATATAATGGACCAAGCAGTGTTTAAAAGAATACAGTGTCCATGTAATTATTTTGGGGCAAAGCTAGCCAGGCGACCAGGAGTTGGGGCGGCCGGAACATAGCCCCACAGCTCATACAACAGTGGTCAGGGCAGTTTTTCCTTTTGTTTAAATTGTAAACCTTTCTGTGATGGAATTCAGTAAAAGGACTATGAAGAAAAAGCCACAGAGACAAGGGGTTGCTCTTCACCTACAGATGCAGGCTACTGCATGGTTCATTGCGAGATTTGTCACAGTGCTGGGCCAACGGAGAGCTGGTGCGATGGCAGGGACCACCCTTCTTCTGGGGTAAGAGGGCAATTTGGTCTCCATGCTCATTTACTCCCAAGACTTCTCTGAATAGACTGTCAATTGAAGCTAAATTGTGCACAATTATGCATGCACTTTTTAATGCAGGCTATTGTTCACTAAGCACCAAGATTTCTCAACCCATTTTCATTGGTATGAGGTCATTGGAACCCCATGTAATCATATATGGAAGACAGGAGTAAGTGGAGCCAACAAATTATTCTACGTTGTGGATTCCTTAGAATTCCTTAGAATCCACAATGTAATTGCAACTCTCTCCCTGAAAACAACAGAGGACTACTCTCCGGGAGGCTGCTGTTCGTGTTTCAGGATTAAGACTCATATTCCTGAGGATGGGGAGCCTGTGTGCAATATCATCCAGGGCTGAGCACTTATACGATTCTACAATTTGGATTCCAGAGGAATGGATGTCATGGTAGAGGGTGTGTGCTTATCACAATCAGTAGTACAAAAACCCTTACACACTGTTAAAACCCAAACGTGGAAAGATGGCAAATGGAAAACTGTTAAGAAAAATGCCTGTCAGATGCTTGTAATTTAAGTTTAGAGTACATTATTTCTTTAAGAAAATCTGAACAGAGCGTTTGTAGGAAATTGATCGAGGCAAGAACCAAAGGGGGTTGTCCCAGCATCCTGAAGGGACCTATGCACTGGGAGTTTGTGATGTCAAGAATGAGGATCCTAAGAATCTGCATTTGGCAGCTTACACAACCTGAGCTGGCTATGAACGAGCAGGTCATTCTCCATGGAGGGTGGATTCAGAGTGCACGCCGTAAACTTTTAATCCCTCAGATTGACAGATTGGCTGTGGCGGAAGCACTTCACGAGTGCACAATGCTGGTGCTCTGGAAGGACTGGCTGCTTCCTTGCTTTTCTGTCTGACCAGCCTGACCAGCTTGATTACACGGCGGCGTAAGGACACACTGCTAGACTGGATCCATAGCACGTTAGAGGCTGTTTGCTTTCCTGCTCCCCTTCTTTCCAATTAAGCTGGTGAAAATGTAACTTTAGTATTTTACAGGACAGGGGAAAGGTGTTTCATCTAGGTGCTGTCTATATTATAAAAATAAAATAAAAAATATCAATATGTAACACAAACCCAGTGCCTATTGTTACACAAAATATACAATAGAAGCGGTCTATTCAGGAAGATTGCTTTTTCAAATAGGTCATTCTGATTTAATCATGAAACATTTGAAAACCATCTTGAGGTTAAGCTGAAGTAGCTAGAGTGATCTATCAAATAAAACAGGAAATGCGCAACATTCTGTAATAGACATGGAATGAAGCTGACAACCTAACATCAAGTTGCTTGTTCGGAAATTCACCAAGGAGTTTGGAAACATGCTCTCTTATTATAGACCTTTAATATAAAAATATTTCCACCACATTGCACAATAACACTTCAAAGGCCTACTATGGTTGACGGTAGTAATCATAGACAGAAATTTCCCAGGAACTAAAAGCATATCTTCTGGTGCCATAAACATTCTGTGATCAATCCGCAATGGACCTTCTGTGTGACGCACTCCACACTAGGAAGTAGATATTAAAAAATAAAAAAAAACCCTCAAAACCTTGAGTTTCGGTATTGTGTGTGTGCATACATGTGGACGTGTGTATGTGAACAAACAGCCAACATACACACTGAAATTTGCACATTTCTGGAAATTGCTTTTAAGTTACTGAAAGAGAATGAACTCACGGGAGTGTGTAGCAGGAGGAGAGTCTCTCGTTTTAATGACAAGATCAAATAAATGCCCACCAGGAAGGAATACTCAAACTGTCCCAGAAACTATACAATGTAGCTTGTAAGATCCAGCAAATAAGATGTCATGTCAATGATCTGATCCAGAATACCTGCCCTGGCAACTCTGCGGATGCTTCTGTCCACTTGTTCACACTGAGGACCAAGATAACCTTTCTTACAGAGACACTTGTTGGGTCTCACACACACCCCTCCGTGACGACATGCTGGCTCACATTTGGCTGCAAGAAAGAAAACAACATGAGTATTCTTAATCTGCACGTCAGAAGCTATCCACGGATGAGGTCAAGTATTTGATTAGTAAGGAAAGGTAGAAAAAGAAGGCGGAAGACAGTCACAAAATGGTGGGCAGAGGAATATGCAGGCAGGACAGTTTCCAGACATGCAGGTTTTTAGGGACAGAAACCAAGCTAAATGTCCGGGTGTCAGCACACTGAGAAGTAGGGCTCATGAGAAACTACTGCGGTCATTTGAAGAACTGGCACTAACACAAATGTCAGCCCTTTCAGCTTCTGCTCCAAGGGGCATTTCAGCCAACAGCAATTCCTTCCTCCAGGGTAGGACGCATGGGAGGGAGAGAGGCTGGCCTTGAGAAAGGGGACACCTGTTGGAGCACTTGCACTGTGACACTGAAATAAAGTCAGTTTGTGACTGAAGCTGCATGCAGTATCCGGCATCTGGTCTCCCTGGCAATCCCTGCTTCCCATGCTAAGACAGGATGAACAGGCACATTGGTCTCTGAGTATGTCTGAAGTCCCATCCTGGGCTCAGTGCAAGAGCTTGGCAGAGGGCCTACGGTATAACGTATTGGTACTTAACATAATTTGTTCACCCCCAGTTTAAGCATGCTGCCCAGAGAAGATGCACAGAAAATATTTTTTAAACTACATTTGTTCGAGGTAACACAGCAGTTAGACAAAGTGCAATGAAGCTGACAGAACCGGCTGCCGTATGAAGAAACAAGGGGCTAAGAGGAGTACATATCAAACACAAAAAGAAGTGAGGAACAATATCCAGGCATGTGACTATCATTGCATTTGTACATTGATTCTTAATTTTGTGCTCAACTGACCAAGAGGGAGATGGACTTGGTCCATAGAGTGGATGTTCTTGTTCTAAATAGCTACCTGGATTCTGCTGAGTTGTAATCTGTCGCTCTAATTCTAATCAGATATTAGTAATGTTACGAAATGGCAAAAGCAATTTAAGCTAAAATATGTATTGTCTATATGACTCTTAAGTATTGATTGCTTTTGTTAGGCAATGTGGGAGATGGACAAGTCATAATTATAATATATCTTGAAATGAATACATCTTTAGAATAAAAAAATCAGCATTTATGTGTCAAGAGAAATAATATTCATTTAGATTTTGGTTTTCATTGGCAGGGTATACTTTGCTGTGTAAGACTGTACGGGTCAAAATCACTATTGATTAATGCGTGCACATGCCTTACTGAATTTGTATTTAAGTTTCTAAGTTCATTCACTTTTCTTTTATATTTATTTTTGTATCTGAGTGCTCTGTCCTTCTGTATGTGTGCAGGACAGAAGAGGGCATCAGATCCCTCTGTAATTGGTGCTGGGAATTGAACCTAGGACCTCTGAAAGGGCAGCTGGTGCTCTTAACCACTGAGCCATCTCTCCAGCCCTTATTCATTTTTCTTAACTTCACACTGATTAGCATTTAACATAGCACTAAATGGAGCGAAGGGCTAGAGCCTCGCACACAGATGTGCTTTGGTCCCTTTGAGCCGCTGCGCACTTTATGACGAGGCACAGGGGCAGAACAGAGTAGAAGAGTGTTTAACTGTGCCTAGATAACTGTGCTTTCCCCTTTTAGCCAGACCTCCCCCCGCCACCCTGAGAACCTCTGCTCCCAGCATGCCGCAGTGAGATGCAAGCAGAGAAGCTAAAGTGGGCATTGGTGGGGTGACTGGAAAATGCTTGCACTTGGCCAGGACTTTAACAAGCGCTAACTCTTTAGCGGTGTGAACACTGCAAATGTAACTCTGTGGTGTGCTGTTTTCATTTTTCTTTTTTTGTGAAAGGATCCAGTCATTTAAAGATCTTTTATGCTTTTGATTACCTGAAATATGTGAACAGCCCATATTAAAACAGGAAAGGTTCCATTTGTACCTTCAGAAAGAGATATCGTAAAGCGCCAGCCACTGTATACTAGATGACTCTAGAGATTGATGATGCTAGTTTCTCAGGCACCAAGGGCCACTTTCAGTGTCCCAGATGATAACAGAAATACTAACCAATTCTGCAGAAGTCTCCTTCCCAGCCTGGACTGCAGCAGCACTTGCCCGTGGGGGTGTAGTAGCCATTCCGACAGAGCCGGGAGCAATCTGAGGTCAAGGTCTGTGCAGGTTGAACCGTGACTCTGCATTCCTCAGGCATTAAAGGTCTGCACCCCAAAACAAGAGTTGACATAGCACATCAGTTGAAAACCAGTATGATGAAACTTAGTGATCTTATGGCTTACCAAGGATGTTTGTTGCTTTCAAAAGAGATCTTTTTTGTCAAGTGATACAGTCAACTCACAGCTTCAGGAGAACAGAAAATCACACCAGTGATGTGAAGTAGCCTAAGAAACTTTATTACCATTTAAGTTCTCCATAAAAACATAAGAAGAATAATATAGCTCTTTTGTATTCGTTACAATTCTAGAAACTGTAATGTTAAATGTTTAAAATTGGTATTTGACGGTATGTGTGTTTGTGTGCATGCATGTGCGCAGATGTGTGTGTGTGTGTGTGTATGTGTGTGTATGGGTGTGCATGTGCCATGGTTGTGTGTAGGTTAGAGGTCAACCCTGTGATGTCAGGTCTCTCTTTTCACCTTTCCATTGTTTTGGGGATGGTGCTCATGCCATTAGGCTGGCTCAGCGAGGGCTTTTACTCCCCGAGCCTTTTTGCCAGCACTCAAACTGCACTTTTAAAAATAGATGGGCATGAATATTTTGAAGCTTCCTTCCACTACGATCCATAAACACTTTTATAGATAGCACCTGGGAGTTCCTTCTTGTGATTGGCCTGGCTGGCAATATCCCAGGGCTGGTTATGTCTGTCATAGTGAACACTGGCTGCCTAACAAACAGGAACGAATCCCTTCTGTTCCCTTCTCTCTTCTTTCTTTTTAATGGTTCTTGGGGTCACACACAGGGCTTTGAACACATTAGGTGCATGTTCTTCTGCTGAGCTACATGGCTGTACTTCTCTCTGTCCCCCACAGTCTTGTCTTTTGGGGCAGGGCCTCTTAGTATCTCTCTCTTTCTTGTCTGTCTGTCTCTCTCTGTCTCTGTCTTTCTCTCATTCTCTCTCTCCATTTGTGGCAGGGTCTCCCCATCTCTCTGTCTCTGTCTTTCTTGCCTTTTGGGGAAGGGTCTCACTGTAGTTCGGGCTGCCTCAGATTCGTTTGTATATTGGACTTTAACTGGAAAACCTCTTGCTTTAGTCTCTCAATTACCAGGATTACAGTTGTGTGCCAATGCACCCAGATCATTTTGTATTTATTTTGAGATAACAGCCTTCTGATTTGTTCTCCTCGAAAGAGATCCTAATATGCATGCATAGGTGAATATTTAAGCTACTGAGTAAAAATTTAAACTATTAATGCAAAGAAAGGTATATAGAATGGAGATTTTTTGTTTTGTTTTGTTTTTTTTTTTTGTTTTTTGAGACAGGGTTTCTCTGTGGTTTTGGAGCCTGTCCTGGAACTAGCTCTGGAGATTTTATGAATTATATAAAAAAGTCAAATTAATTTTTTGTATGTAATAATTTAATTAACTCCTGTTATAAAGAGAAAGAATGTTAATAACAAGCACAACTATATCGTCTGTGATGTGAAACTTCATGCATTTTGTATGAATTGTTCTACACTGTTGTCATTTATAGAAAAAGCTAAGCCATCAAAGATTTTTTTAATTATTCTTCTGCTTCCCTTTCTTTAGTTCTGTGCTTAAAAGTGTCTATCACCACACCCTGACCAACTGATAAACTTTTATGTCATCAACATAAAACTAACCCCCCATAAAAACCCCAAAATTTACTGTATTTTTATTGCCTACCAATCCTTACTTATAGTATAGTTACATTTATTTATTATATATTATTATAGCATTATATATACTAATATAAATAATGTGTTTTTATACTAGCTACAATATTAGAACAACAAAGGCTAAAATGTCAAGGTCAGCACATCCTGAAGACAGGGATTTGTTTCCTTCTCCAGAGAAGAGGCTAGCCAACATATTTAAATTCATTTCTCTAGGACGATGTGTGATCAAGTCTGACAAAGATCTTTGGTAAAGTCACGTGCTCCTTCCCCTCCCCATGATGTTTGCTATGGTTCCAGTCTCCTTTCCAGTAAATAGACAGACTCCTTTACATGGACTGAAGGAGGAGGAGGAGGGACAAGGTAGTGCATAAATACCGCCTAGCTATACCTAGAGGACAGTTAAGCAGAAATTGATAGTGTGCATCTGTTATACGGCAACTAATTCAAATATTATTTTCATTGGCCTAGAAAATTGTGTGTTTAGTATATAATCTAATTAGAATCATTTGAATAGTTCTGTTCTTTTAAACAATCATTTTTTTTAAGCCTCTGGACTCTGAGTTCTACTGAATGGAGTCAGAAGTAACTTTCAAAACAGAAAATATAGCCAACAGGGTGTTTGGCCTTGCAATAAAAAAAAAATACACTGAGTCTATGTGATGACAGCTATCCCCACAGCTCTTAAGCTTAATTCGAGTCAGAAAAACATATTTCCTCATCTCCTGACATGACAGATAATAAAACACTGAGGGGCTATCACTGAAAATTGTCCAACAGTCTGCAATTTATAAAATACTGTTTTCAGAAAGTTAAGGCATTTTTCTCAGAAACTCGCTGTGGCTGGTTTTGTGTAGTGATGCAAAGGTTTGGGCACTTCTTTGAATGAGGAGGGACAATGGGAAACATAGGTCATTTCCAACACACACTGTCTGTATTGACTTTCTGTGACTAGAAAAGGCCAGCAGTGGCTGTCTCTGGGTAGTGGGATTTGGGATGGTTTTAATTTAATGCCATGTAATTTAATGAATGAAGAAATAAGTTAATAGATGAAACATCTCCTGTCAGCGTGTGTGGAATCCTCTTCTTCTGAGTGAGTAGTGTTGACATCCATTTTGCATTTCACCAAAAAAGGCTCATTCTTAATTTTTTCAACAGTATACACATTTCAAATCCATTCTCTTATAAAACCGGACACGTAGACCTTAAATGCAGCTTACATATAAAATACTGGCCCACTAGAGGTTTTAGCAGATTGGGTAATCCCATGGCTTCTGTTGGTGACTTCCTGAAGGGGCAGGGGATATAAGAACTGCCTTACTCCAGTCACTTACAGTCATGCAGAGCTCATGGAAAGTGTCTCCTAGCTATCGTCACATTTATGACGCCGTTCCTCTTCCATAGTTCTCCCATTCTCAACAGCTAAGAGAAATCAGTTGTCTAAACCTTCGTTACTCACAGTCTAGGCTCTGATGAATGGCAGTTAGTAGGATGGCTGGAAGAATCAAGAGCTCTTCTAACTGGGGGCCCATTTCCTAACTAGAAGCAACGAATGCAGTCATTATGAATTAGTGTGTTCAGGAGCTTCCGTACCGAAAGCTTTGGAATCTTATAACTGGGTGGAGTCTGTTCTCGGCAGCCATTTTGCTATGCCATGACAGCTAATCCTATGGTTTAGTGGATTCCCCAACTGTGTGATACCTTGCAATCACCTTACTGCTCCCTGTGTCTAAAGGCAGTCTCAGCTCCTCTGCTTCAAGAGGGGGAGGAGAGGGAAGCTGCTTATGACGGTGTAGATCTGCCTGTTACCCATTTGTGTAAGTCAAGGCAGAGAAATGACCCCCGAGTGCTGTGCTATCTTGTGAAAACCTCGTTCCTAGTGTCATCTTCCAAGGTCAATGCACACATAAATTGCTTTTCTTCCTATGATGGTCTTCGGTCTGGTTAGTCAGTGCGACATTTTTCTTTTACAGGGCACTCATGAGGATAGAATTCTAGAGAGCAAAGGATGGCCAGCAATGTGTGACTGTCCACAGACACCATGTAACCAATTTTGAAGTTGCCCTTGACAATTTATCAATTCAGTTGGGCTGTGAGGACTCTTCCTCATTGGGAGCATAGGCATAGCTCAGGTTCAACACCAAGAGGGACTCTCCTGTGTGACCGGGAAACAGCCATCTTCTTGGAATATGGGGTCTGTGTGAACAGGAAAAGGTGCCATTTTTGTTTTTGTTTTGGCTTTTACCAGCATTCTCCTCTTTGGAGATCCTGAACGCTTTTGAGGCCCTAAGTCTATTCCAGTTTCCAGTCATTCCTGAGTCCCCGACAAGTGCTCCCGGGGAGGGTAAACTTTAATTCAAGAATAACTATAATCTTGCATAGGTCATATTATACGTAATCCCATTGCAACTTTTTAGCTTATACTGTGTTTCCTAAAGCTATAATTTAGACAGCTAGGTTCAGCGTTCTGTGTCATTTCTAAACAGCATATAGAAATTTCTGTTCAGAAGTACATTGAACAAAATGGGTCTGGGCAGTCTGAGGGTTCCTGGAGTCTAAAGTTTCTCCCTCACAGCCTGGACTCACCAACTTTCCTGACACTCTCACTAAGAGGGCTGAGTGGCACTAACACCTATAATGTGGTTACGGTCTGGTCACTACTTCAATCCCACAAATATCTACAATGGCATGGGAATCTCTCACACCAAAGCTTACATCATCAGCTTCTCTATTTTCAGGGAAAATCAGGAGGTAAACATCATGTTTTTTGTTTTCTTTTTTTTTTTTAGAGTGTGGTGTCACACACTTTTAATCCCAATATTCTTTGGGAGGCAGACAGGTGGATATATGTGAGTTTGGGGCTAACCTGGCTTACAAAGCGAGTTTCAGGACAATCAAAGCTACACAGAGAAACTTTGTCTTGAAAAACTAAAAAGAAAAAAATGATGGAGGAGGGTCATTTGTCTATCTGTTGCTTTCATTGGTTAATTAATAAAGAAACTGCTTGGCCTTTGATAGGACAGAAAATTAGGTAGGTCGAGTAGACAGAACAGAATGCTGGGAAGAAGGGAAGTGAGGCAGTCGCCATAGCTCTCCTCTCTGAGATGGATGCAGGTTAAGAATATTTCCGGTAAGACAGCACACCACCTCATGGTGCTACACTCATTAGAAATGGGTTAATCAAGATGTGAGAGTTAGCCATTAAGAGGCTAGAGCTAATGGGCCAAGCAGTGTTTAAAAGAATACAATTTGTGTGTTGTTATTTCTGGTATAAAGCTAGCCATGCTGGAGCTGGGCCACAGCCCACTGCTCCCGCCATCAACAAAAAAAATTGTAACATTTCTTACT